CAAGAATTGGAGCATTTCTCTTTAGGGCAGCTGTCCGAGCAGCTGATGAACTCGATATAGTTTTCGACACTGAACGAGTTGACCACAACTCTGTCACCGACTTAGAACCTGTTCAGCAAAAAGCTTAGATGAAAGCCGCAGAGATCACCTTACTTCTGCGGAAACACAAGAATAAGCCAATGCATGAGGTCTTCTTCAATAACATTGGAGACCTTGGCTTATCAAGACGCCTGACCTTCGCTTTTCTCAGGTCGAGTGGGCTGACACCCAATTGAAAAATGTTCACGATACTATTTTTGTTCGAGTGTGAGCAAACGCGGCACCCATCTTGCACACAGCTTCTTCATGTCTAAATTTTCAGATTATATACGATGTACCGAACTTTTTGAAATGCCCAGTGAGTCTGTTAACCCGCGCATTTTCAGTCGACGATCATTCAGTACCGTTTTGTGGATTAACTCCACCGTTTCTGAAGTCGTCACCTCATTTGGTCGACCTCTGTGTTGCTCGTCTTGGCAGCTCATATGGCCTCGTTTGAACTCTGCTATCCAATATTTTACTGTTGTAAACGAAGAAGCAGAATCACCCAGAGTAGAATTCAGTTCAGCTTTTATATTGTTTGGGCTGAGGCCTTTTAATTAAAAAAAGTATTATATCACATAACGATGACCAAATTTCTCCATTTCCACAAATTCATCGAAAACGTCCGCTATTAATGGCTGCTAAACAAATAGTAAACAACGCAGCGCCTTCAATCTTCAAACATATGCTTTATAGAAAAAGTACTTCCTAATACACCCTGGTACTGCAATTCAATTTTAGATGAAAATAACTGTTTTATCACAGTTACCCAGGTATGTGATCGACAGGCGCGATCCGTAGAAATGGTCTGTTCCTTCACCGGATTTGTCTCCTCTCGATATTTCTCCAAGAGCTATATCAAATTGAAAGTTTATGTGATGCAACTTGGGACAATACGGAGACCTAGAGATAGAATTACCAAAACTTGTGCTAGCATAACTCCAGAAACATTCCAAAACGTTATGAATAAGTTAAAAAATAAACTGTTTCACTACCAGATTGATTTTTTTTATATATAGGATATCTAATAACAAGGTTGAAATAAAATGACATCGTTTCATACACTTGAAATTACTTCATAAAAGGTGCTAATTCATTTCTCTTCTCTTTATTTCAAAAAATCTGATACAGGATAGTGGAGTTAAGAAATTACTAGTTCCACTTTCTCTTTCTGAATACGAATCATTACTATACAAGTCATAATTAGCCGGTTCTGCTGTCAAAAATAAAAGCGAAACTTTTTTCAAGCACTCCAACCACTCTACATTTTGGTGTTTGACGAATAAGAATCAACCTACATGAAGCGATTAGCCCGTTTCTGATCAGCTGCAGATCAATTTTAATCTAATTAGTTAAAAACAGATTCATCCACAACAGCAGTATGTCCAGGACTCGAATGATTTTATCATAGGTTGACCTATATATAAAACCTCCCTCTAAGACAAACCCTTTCAACTAGCGACTGTGTAGGGAGTGGTGAATCAAATGAGAACCGTTTATTCTCACAGTACGGTCCAGGAAATGGAATAATAATTTCATATTTCAGATTCTTCAAATAAGTAGACATATCAACTTCTGATCATCGTTTGTCTTTCAGAATGAATAATAAATTATCTGACTTACGCTACATAAACAAAAGTAAAATCATCATAATATCCACCAAAGAGTTCAATACGAAAGAACGCACATCGCTACCTCTGCGTAAAACCCCGAGTCACCTCTTCAAACTGCCAACCCCTTGGGAATAGAGAGCAAACAGCGCTTTTCGCAGCCCCCAGGGGGATTAAAAATTATAATTGGATGTATGGGGCTGATGTAACAGAATCCTCGAGGAAAAGGCTCACACTTAAACTTCCATAATTTCACGGATTAGCTCGCGTTTGTGGAAGCGTGTTTGATTTTTGGGTCAACAGAGTTAATCTTGCATAGAGATTTCGAAATTTGAGTTGTGGAAAGGATAGTGAAGATTCAATTATAAAAATGTTGCGTAGGATATAGAGGATTTGCAAATGATGAAATCAACAGGAAAAGGTTGAAGAATGTTGGAGAAAGAAGAAACGTTATGGAACAATACTTGTAAAAATGTTTTAGCCATTCAGTAGTCGTCTGCCCCAACTATTTCTTTCAACTCTTCGAAAAACAGCAGTCTCAGGAGCACATGACGTTTTTCCTCCAATTTTTCTCATGTGACCCGTTTCCTGTTCAGGAAATGAGATTGTTGTTAGATTGTAGTCCCACTAGTCTCACTAGTCGAACAACCACATGATGCTTTTAGCTTATGAAATGGTGAGAAAGTTCAGTGATGAGGTGTCTACTTCCTCATACACCCCTGGATATGAAAATGAAAGGTTCACTGTTGATTCCGTAACCGAATGGCTTCTCAACAGTGGTTTCTTTCTGAGGTACCTATATTCATGCCGAGAGGATGTTTGACACCTAGACTATCAGCTGTTTCTGACTGACTGCAGATCAATTCGTCAGTAGATTGATAAAAATGTATCACTCTCTGGTGACCTAGGAGCCTACTATTCTTCATGGCTTTGGTGGCTACCAGGGTTTTTAGATTTCCAGCGTTTAGCAGTCTCACTCTTGCCAACTGACCTGAAAGATCAAATTCTAAATGAATGATTGCTTTCCTCAAGAATCTGGACTTATTTGGTTGAATATGAATACGTGTGAGCTACAATGAATCCTCTCAAATTCTTCTAGACATAATTTAGATTGTCCATAAACCTCATTGTAATTAGCCTTCTTCTGGTAATGCAGGGCTCTGCCAGAGGTGACCAACTCTTTCCTTGCTACTAGTGGGAACTCACATGAATGAAACAAACACAAAAACAGAAACAACAAAAACAAAAACCAATCCCGCTTGGAATGGGGCTGGACATAGCAGATCACCTCGTGATGCAATGCAAAGGCCAAGGCGTAAGCGCATTTGCTGCGCCGAAGTCAAAAGGAGAAAGAGAGTAAATGACGCAGGAGTGACAGAAACTATAAGTGTACTCTCTTCCTCCCCCACTTCACCTTCAATAGCAAGGGCACTTGCTGCGGCGGGCGCCAAGAGCTCTTCCTTGAATAAAGGCAAGGAACCGGCTGGCCCTACAGGAAAGCTCCCTCACTTGTGCACCTTCACGGAAAGAAGTCCAAGAAGATTGAAGAAGCCGCGCAACGACATTAATGTCACTGCAGCTTCCAAAACTTTCGCGGAGGCCACTGAGAGACACCTCAAGGTTTCCAAAGATAGTGTGTGTTCGGCGAGTTCTTGACCTATACCTGCCAATAAGAGGAGATGTCTTCTAGTGACCTGTCCACCTTTCTGGAAAGGACAAGATAGACGATGACCCAGGAGGAAAACTGCTCAGGAGGATGTACAATGGTCACATGTGGCCTAAGTGCTGTGGGTCTACACTAACCCTCCCTACTCTACAGATACAGATTGTCCATAAATTACTTGTCTCCTGTGATATAGCACCTCACATTTGAATGAAACATGACAAGTTGTCTATACTCCGCGTGTTCCATTATCTGCAACTAAGTATCCGTAATTATAATAAATGAACGGAACAAATACCTTCAACGTCTATAGTTTTTATAGATAGTCCCTTCTTAAAGGTTTTACCGTGATATTCCTGAATTTCAATATTTGCTACATTTATACTTAGGCGGAACCTAGGCAATTTTTGTGGAAGCGCAGATTGCAAATTATCTTCATTAAATTTTTCGTAGAATTGATCTACTTGATTTATCATTGTGGAAAACCGAGAAGAATTTTGTACGGTACTCATATGTTCAGTATTTTCATTTCTCTCTGCATTTCATCTATCATGTTTACAGGCTCACAGAAGATGATTTCATTTGGAAGGCTTCAATAACCCATTTCATAGCAGGCGTCAGTCAGTTTTTGAATCATGATAGTACTATGAATCTATTCTTCATCTGATCTGATGTCAATTTCGTTGTTCCTAATAGTTGACTGAGTTTATTATCACCTAGTTCATATTCAGAAATACGTTTGGTCACTTTCACGAACATTTCAAATGCTTGAACAAGTTTCTCTATATGCTCTGGAATCACCATGGAATCATCAAATGTTTATATCGCTACATAAACGAAAAATAGCATAGCAAGTTTCTGTTTTCATAAATCAATAATTATGTTAGATCTATACGAAGAAAGTGGCTTGTTCTCATTGGAAATATCAGTTCTGAGAAAAAGATATTGACCAGCGTGCATCGAATACACTTTTCGAATTATTCAAATTGGTGAATATATTTTCTGAACAACTGGACTTTAATGCCGTAAATCTTTTTTTTATTTATCGATATTGGAATGCCATTTTGATTCAGATGTAATTTTAGTTCAATCAGTAGAAATGAAGAAAATCCAAATTGAAATCACCAAAAACATATTGGTATTGGTGACACTATGAGAAAGTCATCTAGAAGGTTCTCCATAGTTAACTTGCTCATCTATGTATTATGAACAGGGTAAGTTGCAAATTTGGCAGGAAAAGCCCACAAGTTTAAAAACGATCCTTTACATTGTATTCGGAAAAATTAAAAATTTTTTATTCATTAGCATGTTAACAGTTCTTGTGATGCACTGTTTGGAACCTTTGGTGTGGTAATGAATATAACTGGAGTTTTTTCCCAACACCAAACTGTTATTTGAAGATGATCAGTTGGTGATCAAAACACGTGTCGAGGTGTTGAAATAACGGTTTGGTATTGGGAAAAAACTCCAGTTATATTCAGGTTAACAGTCATTTATGTATTTATTCTGCATCGTTATTAATTGTCAGGACTCTAAATGTTTTTTGTTTTGTAGAATTTATCAGTGAATTATTTTTGGGTAACTGTTTGTATCCCAAACTGCACATTAATAAACAAACTTAAATATACACATCATCAGTTTCTTACCCAGTTGTCCATTTTCTCCCTCCTATTTTCCAGGTACAGTTGTAGCTTAGGCCCGAGACCACCTGGAGCTCCAAACTCTTCGATGATTTTATGGACTCTTTCGTGGTCTTGAGGGCTGAGGAGAGGACGAAGAGTTTTCTCATATTTCCTGAGGGTGTTCTCCAGAGGTGGTAATGGAAGCTTTGGAAGCTTTTCCTGCAAATGAAAATATATATGATTAATTTTTAACACCTTTTGGTTAGAGAAGCTGAAGTTGATGATATCATTAGTATGTCCATGTAAGGAAAACATGTGCGTTTTTCCGTCACCAATTTCTAGATGATGTTATGGTAGAACAAATAAATTATTCTCATTCAAAAAATGAGGACCGTTGAATTATTGAATTATGAAAAAAATTAAAGTATTTCAATGTAGATCAGATCATCCCATTCATCAAAAGATTAGTTTTTATCGTACAGTATTGGGAAGTTATCCTTTGCTCATCCGTTTACCAGAAAAAACATATTTTTTTCAAAAATCAAACACACCCGAATACATCCGAAATATATCGCGTATCAAAATGTATCCATTATTATTCTTGATGAATAAAAAATATTATTTTTTGCAAAGTTCTATGGAACCACTTTTAGGAATCACACGTTAAAACGTAAAGCCTCGTTAGTCGTTCGTAGGGGTGCGATAGCTGGTTAACGGAAAAACATATTTAAAAAATTTTTTTTCGGTATCTGAGTTGATTTCCCTATATTGTTGTTATTTCTTCCACTATTGGAGCTATAGAAAATTGCAACCAACTATTCGAAAAACTTTCTGAGGAGTAACAGAAAAATCCCATGAATTTTTTGGCGATGAATTTTTTTTTCGGAAATGTGCTGGAAACAGACGCTGCCTGAGCGTACGGCATAATCATTTTAAAAAAATGAGATATCGATTCAGAACTAGTAAATATTGCGAAGTCGAATAGGTCTCGAAATCCTGTTAAAAATGAGTCGAATCAAAAATTTGGAAGGATATGAACGACATACTTTGATCAATGAATATTTTCACAATTGTGAAAGCGCATATTTGGTAGACCACTTCTAATCATAAATATGAACAAGAACCTTCTATTAGAGAATATATTCAGTTGAATCATTGAAATGCCTCAAAAGTAAGGAGAGTTAGGTCCAGATTATTTGGTGAAAAAGTTTTAGATATTCATTTAGTTGAAAAGCAATTCAATCGACCTAATAGTTCCAAAGAATTTTATATATGGGAAAAATATTTTTAGCGTTCTACTTCATCTCTATACAAGGAATATGAAAATACCCCTAAAAAATATTTTTTTAAAACGAAACATTTGTCAAAGATGTGGGGATCATGTAGGTAGAGAAGGTTCTTAGTAGTACAGTCATCTTAGTAAGTTCACCTCGGAATTTGAGATACTCAGCTATAAACTTGTATATTCTTATATTTTGACATCCTCAAAGTACATTAAAGTACTTAAAGTACTCTTTATAATATGCAATAAAATTGCCTTTTTTTAATCAGTATTCAAGGAAAACTACAAGTGTGCTATATGGCTGAATTCATAATTTAATGCAAAATTGAAAAACTAATCGAAAAATCTAAGTGACCCTTTGAAAAAATTGGCGTCGGTGACGCAACGACCCTTTGAGATCAAAATCATTCTTCGTCACGAAATATGGATATTCTCTCTCATTTTTCAGATATTTGCCCGTGGAGTTTTATATGGGACACCCTGTATATACATATTTGTTGTATGTTCTCTTCTTTATCCTCTCAGGTTCTGTTTTCATTGACATGGTGATATGGTGAAGAATTGAGACATGGTTTACCATTACACTGGCCGCAAGCTTAAGACCACTGCAATCCTGCTTTCCTGCATCCACATCCCGAGCCACAACCACTCTGTAGTTGTAGAATATTATGTTAAGCAATTCCTCCGAAGCTTTCATTTCAAGGACAAAACACAAGCACTACAAAAAAATACTTGAAACGCTCTTATAGCGGTGTCTGTGGGAAAGTAGTGATTTACATTGGATTTGAATCGCTGGAAGTTTATTCCATGTAAACGCCGTTCTTCGAATGAAAGAGTTTTCACACAGTGAAGTTCGAGGTATACTGAGTTGAACCTCGAAACGATAAGCATCCACAGTCAGTCGCGTATTTCTGATTTGTACCGCTCTCGGTGAAAACAAATGTTTCAAGTCACTTCAAATCTTCCCGTGAAAGTATCTATAGAAGAGAGACAATTCCCCAACCTTTCTTCGATGTTCCTGACTATCGAAGTTGCAAGTGATATTCGCGTCTCCAATCAGGCGAATGGCTCTTTTCTGGATGGAGTTCTGCAGCTTGAGGGTACGTTTGGGGGCGGAGCTCCATACATGAGAACAACACTCCAGATAAGGCCTGATTTTCTGATTCTGGACAGTGTTCCGAACTTTTGAGAAGCAGCCGTTGCAATTCCAGCGACATGATTGTGCTAAGACATATTGCTGTCCATTTTAACCCCCCAACAAACTTATCGAAGCAGAAAGTGGAATTTCCTGACCTGACATTATTATATCCGGTTAGGATATATTTATCTTTTTGGAGAAAACCCATGCCAGGGTTTTTGTGGCATTGAATTAAACCTGGCTACTTTCACCCCAATTCGAAGTTATTTTCAGATCCTGAGGCCGGTGAAGATGTGTATCCGCAGCCGTTGTCTTGGAATCCAAATGTAATGATGAGACAAGTTTGCTGTCGTCAACAAAGCAATACATTGGATTTTGTTTTTTTTTCCAATAAGTCGTTGATATATAATAAAAAGAGGGTTGGAGACAACATTGATCCCTGGGGAACACTAGCGTTGATGGTGAAAGTATTCGAGAGATATCCCTTGACGTCCACTTGTAGGAAACGTTTTTTCAGGAAGCTGAAGAGCCATACACAAAATTGATCTGACAAGTCATAGCACTGAAATTTGGCCAGCAAATCCTTAAGCCACACACGGTCAAATGCCTTAGAAATATCAAGCGCAACAGCTCTTGACTGTCCATGTTTCTCGATTGCGTATTCCAAATATGGGTGACATACGATAGAAGGTCGCTTGTGGATCTTTTTTTTCCGAAAGTCATATTGATAATAGCTAAAGATGTTGAAGCCTTCCAAATATTTGAGGATATCGTGGTTTACGGCTTTCTCCATGATTTTCGATATCACTGGTAGAAAAGCGACTGGTCGGTAGTTATTTGGATGGATGTCCTTGCCCTTTTTGGGAAAAGGCTGAACGCCAGCAATCTTCCATTTGCGCACTTTATGAGTACGATCATGAGCACTTCATTAGGACACTTCATCAGGCCCTTGAGCTGTTTCAAAGTTCGCCTGACTAGAAGCTGTCGAAAAGTAATTTCCGGCATCGTGGATTCTAGTGTGGAAATAGTGGGTGGTGCCTTTCTGAAAAAAATCGATTGTGGAGTGGTAAAAACAGCTTCAGCTACCGACCAGAAGGATTTAGATCCATTGGGATTGACAAGCAGTTAATCCCTAATTCTCTGATTGTGGAGTTCTTTGCTTCAATATTTATTAAGTTTGCAGCTGTTGTGAGCATTAACAAACCTTGTTTGGTTTTCGACACTGGGATTTTTGCGCCACTGTCGGTAAGCGAGATTTTGAAGCCGACAGTTTGCTCGCATTTTTTGTTGAACCAAGGTTTGCCGTCAGAAGGTATCTCCATTTAAAAAGGTATATATGCATCAATGGATGATGGAATAACTTCTGTGGCTTCAGAAGCACACGTTGATGGATCTTCAGAGCTGAAACAAACATCTAGCCAGGGGAAATTTCGGAAATGGTTTTGAAAATCCTCCCATACAGCTGATGTGTAATGCCAAACTTTGCACGGCTCAGATTGTCCCCCAACATTTATCGGTAGTTCACTCAACAATGGTGGATTCATTGTTATGACAGGTTCAAAAATTTCATCACGCATTATCCAACCCTGATTCCGTGGTTCCAAATCATACCCCAACCAAGTCTGAACTTGATAATAAACACGGTTGAAATGTTGGTGAGCTGCTGCACTTGTCGGTGAGAAATTTGATAACTGCGCAAATTCAGTTTTGAAGACTTGACGTACTGTGCATAAGGAAGATTATCGATACTGTCCACAGATTTTGGAGCATTATAGGCTGCCAAAGAGATAGAAAACGATATATTTGCAAAAACTGCACAGAAAATTAATTTTTGTGATCTTTGATCTTGGATAATGATAATCGCGTACACCCAACCATATGTAGGTTTTGAGACAACTCTCAGAATGTCAGAATACAAGTTCACACAAGTTTATATCTGGGTATCTCAAATTCGGAGTTACTAACCTAATTTTGACTCAGATGACTGGATGATACGAACTGGAAGAAAAAACCCACCCGAAACCAAATCAAATCAGTTTATTTCCAGAGACCCCTGTTGCAATCAAGTTAATAATATTTCCAAATCAACCTGGAAGTATTAATTGAGGGAATAAAATGTATTGTCATGTAACAGTTTATTAACATTATTTTTAAGAAATGCAGGTTTGATAGATAGGTAGTTTGATATATTACGTGATGGGCATAATTAGAGGGCCGTTTGCTGCTTTCTTCAATTCATGGTGGGGAACAATAAAATTATAGTTAGATCTTAACGTATATCCTGTGGCGAGCCGAAGATTATCTCTTGATTTAAATTTGTCGAGATGAGTTTTGGCATAAATAACACAGTTGAATATATATAGTGAAATAATAGTTAGAATATCCAAATCGGTAAACACCTCCCTACATGAGTCATCATATTTTTTGAAACACATTGTTCTCACTACCTTTTTTGAGCTATTAGTAATTCGTTTATTCTTGTACAGTTACCAAAGTTGTTCAGACAATAACTGAATGAAGATTGAATACAGGCATCATAGTAATAGCTCTTCAATATATTCAATAGAACAAAATTACGGAGATTACGAATAACAAAACAATGTTTCGACATTTTACTGAAAATATAATGAATGTGCTTGTTCCAAGAGAGTTGAGCATCAATGTTTAAACCTAAAAATTTTACAGATTAGGTTTGTTGTATTGACTTGCCATTTATTTTGACCAGAACACTGCGATCATTCTCATGTAGTGAAAAGACGATTGTATTAGTTTTTGAGCTGTTCAGAATTAGACCATTTT